AGAGGAATCAATAATCTGTTATTGAGATGGTAACGCTGGTGCTTACCTATAATCCCTGCTACTCAGGACGTTGAGACAGGAGGATCTCAAATTTGAGCCCAGCTTGAGGAACTTAGTGAGACCCTACCTTAAAATAAAAACTATAAATGGAGAGGGATTTAGCTCAGTGGTAGAAAGCCCATAGGTCCCATCCTGAGTGCCCCTAAACCAGAAAAAATTTTATCTTTTGAAACAGTAGCATATATAAAAGAAGTAACCAACATCCCTACATTCTCACTAGACACACACACACACACACACACACACGCACACACACACATGCGTGCATAAATAGACTTGAAGTACAATGTTAAGGAGAAAATACTGATGTGAAACCCCAAACCATCTTCCAAATAAGACTGGTGGAGGGGGCCAGAGGGATGGCAATATGTCTGTTAGCGTCTAGTTTGCTCTACTCCTTAGCGCTAACAGAAGGGTACACAGGTTCATTCTTTCTGCCAACACTTACAGAAAGCCTCAAACTTGCTAGGCATTGTTTTAAATTATAGAATTGTGGAAGTGAACAAACCAGGCAAAAATAGTCAGTAAACAAATAATCAATGAAATGTATATTCAGACAGGTAATAGGTACTGTGGAGAAAAGCTAAAGAGGAAAGGGAGATAGGGAGTGAAAAGGTAAGATGAGGATACCTGTTTCAGGTAAAGTACCTTTTGTTTGTTTGTTTTGTGTTTTGAGCTAGGGTCTCTCTGTAGCCAGGCTGGTCTCAAGCTGGTGGTGATCCTTCTGCCTCAGCCTCCTGCGAGCTGGGATTAGAGGTGTACACCGCGATGCCCAGGTTAAGGATGCTTGTTTTAAGTAGGGAAAGACCTCATGGAGAAGTTGAGCTGTGAGCAAAGCTCCAAGTGGTTTATACATTGCTGATACATCGTAGTCTGCTTTCTGTTGCTACAGCAGAATCCCACAGACTGCTGATTTGTAAACAAGAACATGGCTTCAGCACCTAGTGAGGGCCTTTGTGCTACATTACAACATGGCAGAAGGGCCAATGAACAACCGAAAAAGAGCAAACTAGGTGGAGTCATCTTTTTATCAAGAAGCTCCTGGTGTGATTACCCCCCTCCCACATAACTAATGGATGTATTCATGAGAGTAGAGCCCGGTGAACTAATCAGCTCCTAAGGTCCCATTTCTTGATATCATCACAATTACAATGGAGGAGGCCCTGAAACCATGGAAGACAGATTAGCAGGCAGCTGAGGGAAGAGCCTCCCAGACCCAGGCAGCAGCCAGTGCAACGGCCGGCAGGGAGCACAGTGGGGCAGGGGGTGAGTGTGGCAAAGCAAGCTTTACTGTGCATGGGCACAGTAAAGCAAGGGGCAGGGAATAGGGTCAGAGGGTAAGCAGAGCTGCAGATGGCTCCGTTTAGTTTTATAGTTCCAGTCTGCATTAGTGCAACATTTCTGTGCACCAGAAACAAAACCAGGCCCCATGAGAAATATTTTAAACTAAAGGTAGCTGCAGCAAATGTGTAGTAGTCATCTCTCTCAGGCAACAGCCAGTCTCTCTCTGGTTGAAATAGGATGTTTTCGGGTCTCTTCTTCTAAATCAAGCTATACACCACCTATCAAATGGCCTACACTTGATCAGGCATTTTCAAGTGTAGGCATGATCTTTTTACCTGGCTCTGTGTGAAAACCCAACCTTTAGTACTTCATTAAATATACTAGCACAACAGTAAATATAATAGGAAGGTCAACACCAAATTATAAAGAAGTTGGCAATACGGACTATTAACACAAAATCTGAAAACCTGCCCACATTCCCAAAACCCAACTCTCAGGGGTGTTTGGATTTTGCTCAGATCTAGAGGCTGGTGGACAGCTGTGTGGCAAATATGGCATTATCTACAGGCATTTCAAAAAGGCCTGGGCTTCTTTTTCCTTGGCTTTTCTCTCCCCTCTTCCACCTCCACCCCAGAGCAGAATAGTGAAGCATCTGAGAGAAAAGTTCATCAAGATGAAGGCAGGCATTATATTTCAAGGTGAAGTTCAAAACAGCTTGCTTTTTGCTGTGCCTTCTTACTTCCTGAAATCAGACGGCGCCTTTCAGTACTTCAGTGCGCTAGGTCACAAGCCAGCTACACACTCGCTCTTTTATTTGAGGCCACCAGGTCGACAACCTGTCTTCTCCCTGGCTAAGGGAACACGAGGACCATGTCCAGGGCACCTTCAGGAGAGATTCCGGTGAAGTGTCAAGAGGGAGAACAAAAGGATGGTTTTTTTGCCTCTTTCTCTAGCTTTATTTTACCTGGAAGAAATTGAACAACCCAGAAAAGTTTTTTAAAAATGTAAAACCCCGGTGCATAATCTTTACATGGTACCTTACAGCTGCCTGATTACTACACTGTTTGTTTCGCTTTAGGCTTTTGTTTACCCACTCAGCATCAGCAAAGACAGAAGATTCTAGCCCTCCAGGGAGCCACTCAGGTTAGCCCCCTATAAGCTACTGCCCACTGTCTGGCTGGCAGGCAGATTATGGTGAATTAGTTGATGATCAATAAGAATTCGGTAATTTCACATAAAAATCCAGTGATCCTAAGACTTGAAAGATTTAGCAACACTGGACAAAAAGTCCTGTGTAGGGACAGTATGTATTGACAATGTGTGACTCTAGACAGACCTATAGACAAGATAGGAGCTGGGAATTTGTGCTTCCTGGATTACTACATTCTTCCCGTCCCTGAGCTGTGCACTTGGGACCCCCATGGAGCCAAACAGCTTCCTTTGGCATAGAAAGAAAGCAGGGTCCAAAGAGTTTTAAAGACTTATCTCAGGTCAGCCAATTAGATAAACGCAGAGCTGGAGCCAGAAATCTGGCCCCTTCCCAAGATGCCGCATTCCCTGACATCTGGTTATGAGAGAAACTGGGCCATATCTGAAGCAGTGTCTCAGACGATGTTGGCTCTGAAGTTATTTTAATTATAAATCATCACTGGAAATTAATGAAGGCATCAAAGCTATGATACTGGGATAGACCAGAAGGGCTGGGAGAAAGTATAACTAGCAGCAGAACATTTCCTCGAGGGTTTTAAATGTAAGTAATCTATATTTAAAATACCAAGATTTTAGTAACAGGGTAGGGCAATGAAAAGCTGAATAAAAATCACATCCTAATTTAGCTATACTGAATAAATGAGAAATCGTATTTCTTGGATTTTCTATTAGTGGCAATTAATGTAAGACTTTGCTGTATATCCTTCATTTTGTTAATTCATTTTAATATATTTTTTTAAATAGCTAGTCAATTTTATTGCCTTTTAAGAGTCTTTATATCCAATGATAATTTTATCAGAAGGTAAATTTGTAGGTCATCTAAAAATTTTTTTACAAGGTAGATGTATTATAAACATATATGTTAAAGTATGCTAGTATCAATGACCCTGATGTTAATATTTTTTCTTACTGCATCAATTCACAATAGAAATGGGAATGGCCTCACATTAAATTTCTACATATTACTGGCTCGCAGTAGTAATTCTATCCTGTTTCCCACGAAGCTACAACTCTACCTGCACCATTCCCAGAAAATCAGAGGGCTTTCTGTTTGTTTGCAGTACTGGGGATCGTACTCAGGACCTTGTGCTTGCGAGGCAGTGTGGTGCCGCTGAGCTAAATCCCCGGCCCTATTCCCAGAAAATCAGAATACTGGAAAATTACGTACTACACATAAAAAAGTACTGCCCAACCCAGATCACGACGTAACCACGTTAATGTGGTGAGTAGGACATGCTACATGCTTTACATTTCCACAGCTCTTAGAGTAGAGCCCACAAATCAAACCTGCAAATGGTTTAGCAGCCATCTAAACCTAGGTGACAACACAAATCTAAATAGTCAATGCACAATGATGTTCATCGAGGCTGCAGAGCTACTGGAAATCAAGGTTGCTAAATTAAACTGACACTTGGCAGAAATTATCACACACTTTCCATCAGCCTCATGATAGGAGTTTCTGTGAGGCACAGTGAGTATAGAGAAGAGAGCTGAGCATCACAAGGGACCCACGTCGGAGCTACACAGCCCAAGCTGGATGGGGATCTAGGATTTGAAACCCACACGCCAACCTCGCATGCCTTCTTAGGAGCCCAGAAGTCCTTGTTGAAGTTCAAAAAAATCCAAACTCTCCCTTGCCTTCTTGCCTTTGTTTTCTCATGCCGATTGAGGGAGAGCTCAGAAAAGGAAGGCTGTTTTTCATCTGCCGGAGTGGGTTTTCTCTCTCTTTCCCATCACCCTCAAGATCAAGGAGAACATCTTCGGAGGAGGCTGCGCTCCTTAATTGGCAGGACTACTCTTAGGGTGATGAAAGGCATTCCTCTCCCCGTCTCTGTTCTGGCAGCGTTCCGTTCTAACCTAAATTCTATGTCCGCTTCCTCAGACACTACGCAGGAGCCCAGAGCAACCAAAGGGTTAAGCAAATCCCTTAGAAGAGGACAGAAGACTCCCTGAGCTGTGCAGGTGCGGAATTAGAGCTTTCCACTGCTCATCATGCCAGATTCCCCCATGAGATTGCACGGTCGCTCCAATACAGCATTTTGTTTTGTCTTGTCATTAAAGTACATTTTCTATGCTCTCAGCATATACCTAAGCACACAGCTCTCAGCAGCTATTTGTAAAGTGGTCTGCACAGGCTTTAAAAGATTGTAGAATTCTTTCCCACCCCTACAATTCCCAGTCTGATTTAAGCATAGTCCACAGATGGCCAGGTTAGAGCCAGAGCGGCTGACTTAAGAGCAAAAGACCATGTCCCTTTGTAGGAGACTGCACTGTGATGAAGTCACTTTATTCAAAAGCACGAATCACAGTTCAGAATTCTGAGACTAATGAAACTGCTAAATAGATGAAAACCGATCATCATGCAGAATGCAAGTGAAAGAAAATTTATCTTAGTAAACAGAGGAAATGCCAAGGTATGCAAGATACATACAGCAGAATACTTTGTTCTTTCATTTTTATTTAGTCACAACACATCAGTACAACAGAGGTCAAAACCCCAGTTCAGTGGAGGTCGATGAAACTATACCGGCTAAAGAAATAAACCTGTAAAATGATATTTTTATAGCCTGAACCAAATTAAAGAAACCAAAGAGAAGTAGGCAGCAAAGCCCTTTCCAATATCTCAACAACCACATTTCCATGCAGCAAAGGGGAAACACAACATAAAAACCTCCAATTAAAAGAAAATCTGGCAGATCCAGGAAAATAAGGTTATGCATTTAACAGGTTCCACTGTACTATTCAACTGACCTCTTGCATACCATGATCATTTATCCAGGTTAAGACTTGTGAATTTGAGATGTGGGATTAAAAATTCATTGCATTGCTTGGGTCTAGTAAATGTAGTCATATTCTATGCAATCCTCTTCATACACCCCCAGCCCTCCAAATGGGGACCCTAACCTACCAGTGCATGTCTCCTCAGCCCCAAGGCCAGAACAGCAAGTCCTAGCAGACAACAGGAGTCAGTCATACAGATTCAGGGCCACCGATAGTTCATACATTCACGTTTTTTTGTTATAGGAGGCAGAGAATGACTCTTCTTTCTCGGATAAAGCTGATCATCTGATTTGTCAACGCTTTGTTTGAAAATATAAAATTCAATATAGCTCCCCCCCATGAATATTATTTATACACCTTAATCTGTCAAAATATTAACAAACAGAATCATGGTACATTAAGCATAGTGGTTTGGAAAATTAATTCTAAAAACAGACCACAACTATACAAGGAGAAAAACAGACCAAAAACACTAAATATTAAGATTCCCAAAACTTTGAGACAAAATGGAATCACTCTTAGAGGTTTACAAAGTAAATTAGGCATAGTACAAACCTATCACAAAATGTTGGTTTATACTCACTAGCTCAATTTAATGTTTTAAACAAAAATCAACAACTAGTTTTTTTTAAACTGCTAATACACATGATAAAAAATGGAACAGAAAAAAGTAAACCAACAAACCTTTAGTCTTTAGAAAAAATTATCTGAGAGTGTACCTTTTTCCTTTTTATTTTTACTGACGACTTTAAGGTGATATTGGTAACACAGTCCAGCTCAGCTAGGATTTAAAATTTTCCCCTCACTCATAATATAGCATCAGTTCTTTAAAAGGCTCCGATCTCCGTCCCCCACGGTCTATAGGGCTTGCCAAGGTTTGCGGCCTGTGTGGGTGCCGAAGGGCTCAGTGCATTGGGAGAGAGTAAATGGAAGGAGCCAAAGGAGAAGGGGAAGGCGGACAGCGAGGCCACGGAGGAGAGTAGAGGCGGTGAGAGTTTGGAAGCGGAAGTGACCACGGGGAGCACGGGTCCAAGGCCGCCGGTAGGGGGTGCTCGCAAGGCAGGCGCCTCCGGGTGTGCCGAGGCCAACCTGCCCTGATGGTGTGGTTCCGTAGGCGACGCCGTGGTGCCAGCGTTAGCGTGGCCGTTCTGGGGCAGTAATAGCGGGTGCGCGATGTGCGGATGATGTCCGAAAGCGCTCCCCCAGGAAATGTGTCCCAGGCCTGCGTGGGCGCCACTCGCAGCTTCCCGCTGGGAGGCATAGTTGTTAAGATGAGAGACGAGTCGCACACGAAGCGGATCAGAGGCATCCAGTCCTTCAATCATGCTCAGGTAACGGGCAACTTCTGCCAGGCACTCCCGGAACCCCAAACTCCTGTAGTCCATAGCTAGGGCATGCGCATCAAAATAGCCTGAGAGATAGAACAAAAGAAAAACCTCAGGGCTTTGCGTATTTCCCACATCTCTTCCATCCAAAAGGCAACCCTTCCTGGCAAATACCTACATCCTTAAAGCATGGCACTCAAGGGGTCCCCGGGAAGTCCACATATTTTGGAGCCGACCGAAATTTTTGCATTAATCAACATGAGCATTAATCAACAGAATGTATCTGCTAATGCGAGTTCAAAGCACAATTAGAAGCTATGGGGCAGAAACTGGAATTATACCCTACAAGCAGATGAAACCATGTTCATTCCTTTAATGTTTTCTCTCAACAACAACAAAAAATACATCAAGGACAAAGAAACCGCAGAGCAGTGAAATTCATTAGACGCACAGATGTAAGTTATCATCCTGGAGCTTTCAGGCACTGGGCCCTTAGTAAAGCATTTTCTAGTTGGAGACAGACACCCAGACCTTGGTCTCCCACCTTGTTAGGTTTTTCTTTACTTAACCACAGGTTTCTTTCCTCAAGTCATAATGGCTCTTCAAAAAAAAAAAAAAATCCTGCATCTGAAATTAAGACCATACACTTTTTTTTTTAACAGCTGTTTCTGGAGCTTTTCCTCAAAAGAGCAACGGGCAAATGTGAGAGCTACCTGATTTGCATCAGGGCTGTCACAACTTTACAGAAGACCTTACAGTTGACAGGCAGTGTCCAAAAGATGTACTAGCTCAATTTGCAGAGAGGGCTCGAGCGATGAATTCACTGCAGAAAATTTGATGTGCATTTAAAGATGTAATGACAGGCTCCTGCACACACCACGCACACTCCCCACCCCCAAGGAAAAAGGAGGCTGGGCCTGCACCAATCCTGGCGGGAGACCCAACCAAGCAGATCCCCCGCCGGGACTAATGAGATGTACCTTTCCCTCCGGCAGTGTGCAGCATTTTCAGGTGATCCACAGTCATCTGCAAGATCTCAGCTTTTTCTAGCTTAGCAGAACCCTGGAAAAGAGAATGGGAAAAACAATGATTTGGTAGCGTCTTTGGTGAACAACTGAAAATATTCACAGACACACAATAACTCATAATGGGTGGTGTACAGAAAGAGAATTGTGTTCACAAAATCCGCTGAATCTGTATTAATTCATCCAGTTATAAGCCACACAGGTTTTTTCCAAGACACAGATAAGGTTCAGATTCGTGGGGGAGCGGGTAGAAGATGCAAACAGCTTCACTAAGAGCTCTACCTACTTTCTCCATTACCTGCTTCTCAAAAGCACTGGGTACCAGCCTCCTCAGCTCAGACAAACTGTTATTGATCCGGTCTCGTCGGCGCTTCTCAATGATCTATGGGAAGCAGGCAAAACAAAGGAGGACATTTCCATTACGACTGTAAATTCCAAAGAAACGCGGCTCTTTCCGTTAATTAAAAACAACTAGAGCATTGTAAAAAGACTCACGCCTCTCCGTCTTTTCCTAGCCAAGATCTGGGAAGATGTAGTTGGAGACATGGAACCTAGAGCCGAACTCAAGTTTCTGCAAGGAGAGAGGAGGGGGAAATCCCCGTTAAGCTGGGTAAGTGACCTGAGAGGCAGCCCCAACGCCGTCCCTGAACTCAGATCTGCCAAGTGTCCCCAGGGTGGCCGCGCTGGGGTCCGCGCCCCAGGGCGCGCTGTCATCGCGGGCATCCGGGCCGTTCTCCCGCCCACTCACCCATTCTCGTCCGCGCTCTCCTTCTCCACCTCGATGGTTTCGTCCAGCTCGCTGTCGGAGGAGCTGTACTCGGGGTGAGCTCGCTTCATGCTGGCTGCGCAGGGGCAGGGAGGAGTTAACCACGGCGGCGCCACTCAGCGCTCGGCAGCTCGCGTTCCGCACACACTGATACCGCTCGTGCTCTGCCTCGGGTTAAAACTCAACCATCCTTTCCCACGCTGCGCCCCAGGTCCAAGCCTGAAGACG